CCACCTCGTTCTCTGAAGTTTCTGAACTTAGTAATTGTTGGAGTCATAGGAATATGGAAACTTGTGAGTCATTTAGTCTATAAGGTGAGGAATCAGAGTTGGCAGTGAAAAGACCTGAACAAATGTAGAAGGGTTAAGTCTTGAGTTGAGAACATAGCTATTTAAGAATGGAACAGTGGATCCGTTTCTTGTGTTAAAACTATTTTTTTTTGTTAATCACCCATCTTGTTTTCTCTTAATTGTTGTTATCTTTAAGTTTTCAGCATTTAATATCTTGTGACAATATAACCAAATCTCCCATGATTTTGTCGTTCCTCCTGAAATCAAGAAAGATTTAATACATAACAACGCGAGAAGTTGTTTAGATTCAATTTGAACCTACCACCTAGAGGGAACGTCCTCAAGGCACTAGGGAATGAAAGACCAAATAGTTCAATACTGTCTTTACTTATATTTCAAATTCTTTTCAGAATAGTTCAAAGTATTATATAGAGTTACTATCCTCGTGGGAACGATAACTTGGCCACTAATAATCCCACTCATTACTTGATATGTGCACTTGCGCGACTGGGTTAATATCTAGAGAACGATGTGTTTTCTCTTGATGGACTAAGTAAAGGGAACGTCCTTAAGAGTATCAGCACCCAACAAGTTTTTGGTGTCGTTGCCGGGGATAGTTTACACTAAATTTTGTCTTTGAAACTATTTCACTTTAGATTTTGTTAATATATCATTCTTTATTTTTCTTTTTTATTTAAATTGTTGTTCATATTATTTATAATACTTGGTTTATGAGTGAAGAATCTGAAATTGATTCTCATTCATACACTGAGGTACCTTTATTTTTCTTTGATCCTGAGCCAGAAGGATTATTCAGTTGCTCAACCATCCACTTCAAGTTGGACATTGGTTGTTCTTAATACTCCTCCAACTCAACCGAGTACAACCAATTATTCAAGATCCACAACCTGCTGATAATCTAGTAGATCAAGTTGTTCATGAGGAACAAGTAGAAATTGTTGATCAACCAGTTAAACAACAATTTCCTCAAGAAGATAATTAAACAACATTAAGAAGATCTACCAAAATAAGAAAATCAGCGATACCGAGTGACTTTGTTGTGTATTTACAAGAAGCTGACTATAATATTGGAGCTGAAAATGATCCTGAAATATTTTCACAAGCCATGAATCTTAAAGAATCAAAATTTTGCTATAATTCTATAAAAGATGAAGTGAATTTTATGGCAACTAATGGAGTCTGGGATCTTGTTCAGTTGTCTGATGGTGTAAAAGCCATTGGATGTAAATGGGTCTTCAAAACTAAGAAAGACTCATTAGGCAACATTGAGAGATATAAAGCAAGACTCGTAGCCAAGGGATTTAATCAGAAAGAAGGAATCGAATACAAGGAGATCTTTTCTCCTGTATCTATGAAAGATTCTCTTCGTATCATTCTAGCATTAGTTGCACTTTTGACTTAGAGTTGCAACAAATGGATATGAAAACAGTTTTCTCAATGGAGTTCTAGAGGAAGAGGTTTATATGAAAGAACCTGAAGGATTTTCCTCTAGTGATGGTGAGTAATTGGTATGCAAGCTTAACAAATCTATATATGGATTGAAACAGGCATCCCGTCAATGGTATTTAAAATTTCATGATGTTATCTCTTCATTTGGTTTTGTAGAGAACATCATGGATCAATGTATATACCAGAAGGTCAGTGGGAGCAAAATTTGTTTTCTTATTCTATATGTGGATGATATTTTACTTGCAACCAATGATAAGGGTTTACTGTATAAGGTAAAATAATTTCTCTCTAAAAAATTTGGTATGAAGGATATAGGTGATGCCTCTTATGTTATTGGCATCAAGATAGATAGAGACATAATAAGGGGTGTTCTTGGTTTATCTCAAGAGATCTATATCAACAAAGTTTTGGAAAGATTTAAGATGAGTGATTGTTCACCAAGTATAGCTCCCTTAAGTTATTAATAAAGTTTGGACTCAATATAAACATTGGGTTTATTCATTAAGTTATATGGGCTTGAGAAATATAATACAATGTAATACATGGAAGATAATACTCACATAAATTATAGGACTTATCGCCATGATTCATGTATTTTGTTTCTCACTATAGTATATGACGGTCTATGTGGACCAAGTGGGAGAATGTCAGTAAAAATGTGTTAGTAGTGGTGTGACCCTATGTGGTCCACTTACATTGTCCACTAATGATAATAGATTGAATAATGGAGTACCTAATTTTGGTCTTGGTCTGCCATATGGTTTTGGTCTTCCATCAACCTCACTTATGTCGTCCACTTATTCATCACTTATTGAAGTGGTTCATCTACTTTTGGTTTTAGTTTGTAATCATCAACCATTCATTTGGTTCTTGTTTGCCATCAACTGAGTCTATCTTCAGTGCACACTTGTACAAACTCTATGATGGAGGAATCTATAAAAGGGTGCATCTTTAGCTTCATGAGTCCTTGACCTCACTCTACTATAGAGTTGCACACCATTTGTGCTGTAGAGAAGAGTTTTGAAGACTCAATAGAAGATTTTTGTATCAGTTGCACAAACTATTCAAAACAAAAAGAAAGCAATGGCTGAAGGTATTTATGATCTATCATATTCCACATTTCAGTATAATTTAAAACTTACAAATATTGCACATTCCAGCTCAAGATCATATAGCTGATACTTTAACTAAAGCATTATCACCTAATAAATGTTTTGAACTTCAACACAAACTCTGGGTAATTGATTATATCCAACCGTCCTGAGTTTGAGGGAGTGTATTAAAATATATTGAGTGAACTGTATTGTTGTAGTATACTCTTGTATGTACAGAATTATTCGTTCAGTTAGTTTCAGAGTATGTCAGTATTGTTTGTTAATGCTGACTCAATACTCAATCAATTTTACTGCTCTTTTTATAAAACACAATGTAACGAAAAAAATTTGGGTGCACCTAGACTTTGTGCTCCTCCCATTAAGAGAATGACATGTGGATTAAAAAAATGTATTCTCTTTTTTTTCCTTTATTTTTTTTCTTTCTTCTAATTTCATTAGTTTGTCCCTCTTATGTGTGAAATTGTCAAATTGTCATAGACTTCTACGTGTGTCTCTCTCTCTCCTTTCAATCATCTTCTATTAATTCACAAATGCTTACTATCGGTTCATTTTTGTTATGTACGTTGAAAGGACACTTGTAGGGCATCCTCGTCAATTTGACTTGATTGATTTTATTTTATTTTTAAAAAATGATAGCGAATATTTTAATTCAAATTTGTATTTGTTGTTATACTCTCCGCTTTGTCTTTTAAAACTCAAGAGCCGGATGATATTTGAAACATGCTTAAATGATTAATTATTATTACTGAGTGGGTGTACGTGGAGCTTTCGTATAGCTGGTATTATTGGCGTTAGATTGTGACGGGCATCATTCGGGTATCTACATCCTGACCATAGTCTTCAGGCTTGTGCTATAGCTCTTGTTTTATACAATAGAGGCAAGAAAGTTTGATCAGATAATCCCATATAAGCTATCTTGGATCGACACTAATACGGGACACAAGATACGACATGAGACTCCGACACGTTAATTATAAAAAATATTAAATTTTTAACACGTTAGGACACGTTTTGATATTATATAATATTTTTACTTTATATAGTGTATATTATATTTAATATTCAATAATTTAACAAAAATATAAAGTTAAACTTATAATACTCATCAATTTTGCAAAGAAATATAAGATATCCCAAATATTTATATTAAACTCAATAATATAGTAATCGTAATCCAAGAAATCTAATAGTTGAAACTCAAAATGCAACGCAACGTAACCTTTGAATCTTTTTTAAGTCTTTGCAACGAGTATTGAAGTGTCGGGAAGTGCCGAAGTGTCGGTGAGTGTCGAAAAGTGTCGGACACGACACGTCAGGAATTTTGAAGTGTCGGTATTTCATAGCGTATAAGTTTCTCCAATTCCTTGCTACTAATATACACTTAATTGCTTCTCCAAAATTATTTTAATTTGTGTTTTCTGCTCAAACATTTTAGTTTTTTCAATAATATACTGGCACGGTATAGACATTAGTATGCATTATTATTCTTTTAAGGTTGTGTTTGGTTGAAGGTTTATATTGGGATTGATGGGAAAGTGTAAGTGGATATTGAAAAATATTACGTTTGGTTCAGGTTTTTTCAAAAATACTAGGCAAATAGGATAGATGGGGAAATGACTTTTGTGTTGATTTTTGGATGAAATTCACTGTTATAGAATACCACTTGAGATGTGGTATTTTGAGATAACTGGGAAGTGAAAAAACAGGTGCGAAGTTTCTCCCGAACATAGATTTTGCAAATTTAAATAAATTTCCCTGATAATATTTCGGTCAACCAAACAATTTTTTTTACATTTTCCTACCAAACTCATTTTTCAACCATTTCCCTAGTAATTACATTTCTCTAGTAGTCAAAATATTTCTCCTCGACCAAACGTCCTTATGATAAAAACATAAAGTCTAATAATTATTCTCTTATAATTATTTTTCTAAAACTTGTCATTTATTTAATTACTCACCAAATTATTTTTATGTTTGATGAATAATTCAAAGTACATTTTATTACATTTATGCAGATTTTAGTTAATACAAGGTCAACATCAAAAAAGTAAAATAAGACAAAATCTTATCATTTCAAGAAGATTTATAATAAATACTTACCGGAATTTTTTTTTAATTCCTGCAGCTTTTTTGGGCAAACAAAATATCAATTGCTGATTGGAAATTGCTTTTTCAGGAAAAGCTAAAGTGAAAATAAATTAAGTAACTATTAAGATAGTTTGTATGACATTACAAGTGCTATCATTAAAAACGATATATCAATTTTTAAAAAAATAATAATAATAAAAGAAAGTGGTCCCTGAAATTGAGAATAAAAAACCTAGCTGAACACGCTAAGACACTACCGAGGGTGGTTTCACAGACATCTCTGTAACGGTGCGAAAATGGCGACAACAAAAGCTTTGGTCTTCACTGTGACTCTGAATAATCTCACAAACCGCTTTGGTTCCAAGTCGCCACCAAGCGCTGCAAAAGTTTCCGCTTTTTCTGTTAGATGCTATGCGGGTAACCTTTTTAATATTCTGTAAGCGTTTTTTTTTTTTTTTTTTTTTTTTTTTTGCAATAGCTTTGAAAGCGTTTTCTTTTCACCCTTTTATGGTGCATTTGGTAACATGGAAATTAAAATTGTATTGCCTCTGTTTGGCTTTAGTATTGGGTATTATTATCCAAATTGATGCAGCTTTATTTGCTTGAAATATAGGTAATGGAGAAAGGCCTTGGAAAAATTCAGATGCTAGACTTGTGCTAGAAGATGGTTCAATTTGGAAAGCAAAATCATTTGGGGCTTCAGGAACCCAATTTGGTGAAGTTGTTTTTAATACATCATTGACTGGGTGAGCCAAACTATGTATCTTAGGATCTGTTCTTTTTTTAATGGCTTGCTTTCAACCTAAATAAATGGATGTTTGTTTACTTTGTTATTTGTGTGATCATCAGGTATCAAGAAATTTTGACAGATCCTAGTTATGCTGGCCAGTTTGTGCTGATGACAAATCCACATATTGGGAATACTGGCATAAATTTTGGTTTGTGTTTTATATTCTAATTCCTCCTGAGTCCTTTAATCCTTGTGCTTGGAAGCCATTTAAAAACTACTTTTTGATTCACTGTTATCCAGATGATGAGGAATCAAGGAAGTGCTTTCTTGCTGGTCTAGTAATTAGAAGTTTGAGTATCAGGTTCTATTCTCTTGCTCTGGAAATATTTTCCTTTGATTGAGCTTTTACTTAGTCTATTTACTCTTCCTGTCTTTTTGCAATGAATATTTATTCAGTACCTCAAACTGGAGATGTGTGAAAGCTTTGGGTGATTACTTAGCAGAAAGGAATATCATGGGAATTTGTAAGTAATTTGTATAAAAAGTTGTGGGAAGAACATTACTCGTTGTTGCATAACTTTTGTTTTTTGCTGTTGACTTTGATGGTACTTTGGGATGCAACAGATGATGTTGATACACGTGCAATCACACGCAGATTACGGCAAGATGGCAGCCTCATTGGTATCTTGAGCACTGACAATTCCAAAACAGATGAGGAACTAGTTCAGATGTCTAAATCATGGGACATTGTTGGTAAGGTTATGAGTGCTGGATGTTATGTAAATGTTTTTAAAAGTGGAACTACATAGCTGCTGTTTCATATTTGTAGGTGTTGATCTAATAAGTGGAGTATCATGCAAATCTCCACATGAGTGGGTTGATGAAACAAAGGAAGAATGGGATTTTACTTCCAATAAAGGGCCCGGAGAAACTTTCCATGTAAGTATATGCAGTATGCTGTTGGTACTGTCTCTTTCTTTTTGTTGATTATTGGGTAATTTAATATATGCTTCATGCTGATGAACGAAATTTTAGGTTGTTGCTTATGATTTTGGAATCAAGCATAATATACTTAGGCGCCTAGCATCTTATGGCTGTAAAATCACTGTTGTTCCATCTACATGGCCGGCATCAGAAACTTTGAAGATAAAGCCGGATGGGGTCGTTTTCAGCAATGGCCCTGGAGATCCATCTGCTGTTCCTTATGCTGTTGAAACAGTAAAGAATATTCTTGGAAAGGTGCCTGTTTTTGGAATTTGCATGGGCCATCAATTGCTTGGCCAGGCTTTAGGAGGTACAACCTTCAAGATGAAATTTGGTCACCATGGAGGAAACCATCCCGTTCGTAACCTTAGAACTGGCCACGTTGAAATTAGTGCTCAGGTATGGGAACTAATGGATGTTTTTCTGTCACTTTATTTCCTAGTTTTCCACCATACTATACCTAAATCCATTTGAATCGTTAGGTTTGCTGGGGAAGACAAAAAGAACTTTTTCTATAGACATATTTTTTTTGCCTTATTAGGAGGGTTGGGACCTCGCCCCTTAAGAAAACAAAATTAAACCGGAACTCACAATAATAGTAACTGATGGTAGACAAAACTATGTAATGGTAATCATTACCATCAGTTCAGTTCTTGTTCATGTTGTATCAACTCATGGGCGTGATTGGACCTTTAGTCTTGTGATGAGGTAAAAAAACAGCATAACAAATTCTACACGTAGCAGCAAATATGTTGAAGTGATGTGCGGTCCTATATTTGTTGTGCCAATCATGTCTTCGAAACAAATTAAAGTCAATTGAGATAGCTTCCTTGTTATATTTTTAACTTTTCGCCTCTTATGTGAGTATTTTATTCTTTTTCTCATGGCCTTGTATCATCATAAACTGATATATAATAAATTGGCAGAACCACAACTATGCAGTTGACCCCACCACACTGCCAGAAGGAGTGGAGGTTACTCATATCAATCTTAATGATGGAAGTTGTGCTGGTCTTGCTTTCCCTGCTCAAAGAATCATGTCTATTCAATACCACCCTGAAGCATCTCCTGGACCTCATGATTCTGACTACGGTAAGAGACTTCAAGCTTGCAGTTTATTAGAAAGGGAAAAGTTCACCAATGCCCCTGTGGTTTGCTTCAGAATCACCTATGCCCCTGTGGTTTTTTTTCTATCACATATGTCCCTGTGGTTTGTAAAATAGTATGTTTTTTTATCACATATGTCCCTGTGGTTTTTAATTTTTTTACAAAGCACAGGGGCATGTGTGATAGAAAAAAAACCACAGGGACATAAGTGATTCTGAAGCAAACCACAGGGGCATTGGTGAACTTTTCCCTATTAGAAACGTAGATTAGTACGATCATTAATGTATCTCAGGGTATAACAATCTTAAGAAGTGTAAGGTTCAAGAACAGGATTTGAACAATAAATACTAATGTGATTGTTGATAATGCAGCTTTTAGGGAGTTTGTCGAGCTAATGAATCAAGGGAAAAACAAAACAAAGGAAAATTTACACCAATTATCAGCGGCACATGCTTTGGATGCGTAATGCTTGAAGCGAGCTGGCTACACCAACTGGACGAAAACAATAAAGCTTCTGATCAAAATTTAGCTTTTGTTAGTCTCGTATAATTTCGTAGATTAGTATTGAAGGGCTTCAGGGGATGATGATGTTTTTCTGTTCAATTTTTGTACGAGTTTATTATACCCACAACTGTTATAACCCGCAAATCATAATTATGTACGCATCCCAGTAGCAAACAACAAAATTTTTGCTTGCTATTAATAAAACCAAAAGAATTATTATCTCGAACCATGGCCTCTAACGATTTATTTATGTTCACACTAAACAAATTCTTATCAGCAACCACATGGATCAACTGACAATAGTTTAAGCCTAGCCATTAATTTCAAATTCAAATCCTTAATATTCAACTGTTAAAACTCAGTAAAAAAAGTTTTGCCGCGTGTACGTCCCAAATCCATATTAGTTAACACCAGTTAATGATCAGATACCAAATAATAGTATACCAAAAAAATTAACATATAATTTTTTTAATAAGAAAATATTTAAAACGAGAAAAAGATAAAATAAAATAAAACATAACCATATAACATAGAACTAGAAAGAAGAAGCAACTTGCAGATTCACATTTTACAGAACCAAATTTTGACATTGACAAGAGCACATTAAAGAGAAGGCAATAATGGATATAAAGAAATTAAAATCAGAACTAAGCCCTCTCGCCTCTAATGCGACGAGCGAGTTGAATATCCTTAGGCATGATAGTGACCCTCTTCGCATGAATTGCACACAAGTTGGTATCCTCGAACAACCCTACCAAGTAAGCCTCCGCGGCTTCCTGTAGCGCCGACACGGCGCTGCTCTGAAACCTAAGGTCGGTCTTGAAATCCTGGGCGATTTCCCGAACCAGACGCTGGAAGGGAAGCTTTCGAATCAGGAGCTCCGTGCTCTTCTGATACTTCCTTATCTCTCTCAGAGCGACCGTTCCTGGCCTGAACCTGTGCGGCTTCTTCACTCCACCGGTGGCCGGAGCTGATTTACGCGCCGCCTTGGTTGCCAGCTGTTTCCTTGGGGCTTTGCCGCCGGTGGACTTGCGTGCTGTTTGCTTCGTACGTGCCATCGCTAAAACCTAGAACAAGGCAATGTTTGGCGGAGAATGAAGAAAATGGAGTGTGAATTGCGGGATTTATAGTAGAAAAAATAAGGGTTTGGGGGAAGATTGAAAACTTGAAGATTTTAAGATTGGTTGTTATTGCGCGGGAGTGAAAGTTTTCGATTGGAGCGATCCGTGTGCGCTAAATCTGACGGTCACGATTGGGTTGTCTCATACACCACACGGATTGCCTTCCCTTTTTTATTTTTGGCGCCTGCACACTTGGTCCTTTTATCATTGCAAGTTAATTACTTAATTGGGATTTTTAACAATTTCTTGGCATTCGCAAATTTTTTCGCGTATTATTTAAAGGGAAGAATATGTTTACAAATTTTTTTACAAATTTTACTAAATTGATCAGTTATACACTTTTGATTGAAATATGATTGATCAGACATAATGTAATTTGTAAGAGTTTATAAATAAAATATTTGTAAATATAACATTCTCCATTATTTAATATGATTATATCGTATGAAAATAATCTCAACTATACAAAAATGAATTAATAGTGATAAATGATGAAAGAGAAAAAATATTAAGATAAAAGATTACAAAATTACTATCGATAATTTATTCATTAATTAAGATCACCTTACATAATATGATCTGTTAAATAACAATAGAGAATATTCATATCCTTCATATTTTAAACCCATTACTTTTTGAGTAATTAATTATAGTATTTCTTTGGATTTTTTTTTAAAAAAAAGCGATTCCTAATTCGTTAAGTATTTGTATGCTAACTAAAAAAATAAATCGTAAAAAATGGCAAAATATTATTTATATGTATTATTAACTTATAAAAAAAGCAATACCAAAAAATTCTTTTTTTTTAATAATGGAGGTTAGGGAAATTAGGCCCTTGAAAATAATCCAAAACACATGTATTCAAGTTTAAAGGGGAATTTATTTATCTATTTTTAAAAAAAAAAACTTATTATTAAAGCAGTAACCAATATTTCAAGGGAAAATATTATCTTATGCTCTAGGAGAGTATTTTTCTCTCCTACACATACATCGACTTCCACGTTATTTTTTTTCTTTTTCTTTAAGTGAGTGGGTCTCACTCATAACTATCTCTATAACATAAGAGAACTTCTCTTATGTCACATGAGATTAATAAAGTCCATATTTCAAACGATTTACTCGTGGGGACTATTAGATTCGGAAGCACAAAAAATAGTGACATACAACCCCGCAACCCAAAAAAGAGCAACAGCCCGATCACTTTTTCTTTGGTTTATTGGAGGGAAATTTTTTGAATACATCTTATGTATTTATTTGGGTATATTTTTTTTATTTTCTTTCATATCCTAAAATCTTATCTTTTTTTACAGGTATGTATATACATCCTCACCACAGAAGGTTTTCTCTCATTTGGGAAGGTTTTCTCTTATTTGACAATGTGGTGTCTAATAACTATCTATATCCATCCACTTAAATTATAATTCTCTTCTATTATCTAAATAAATAGTGCCGTAACAAAATATATAATGAAATAGTGTGTAAAAATCTTCTCCCAGATGGTAAAAACAGGTAATCGGGAACTGGACACCATTACTACCCAAGATTGCAATGCCAAATTGCAAAAATCAAAGCACACCTGCAAGTCCAACAATAAAAAGAAGATCATCGCTCTTCTCTTTCGTTCCTGGTCCTTTAGGGAAACCTCGTTTGGACCACAATGATCCACATCTTTTGCTTAAAAACGTCAGAATGGAGATTCCTATTTTCAATGGGACAGACCTAATGAGTGGTTTTTTAGGGCCGAGTTGTATTTTGGGCTGCAGCAAATTCCAGAAAACTTGAAAGTTCGACTTGCAGGGACGAAGATGGAAGGTATGGTGGGGCCATGGTTCCAATGGCTGTTTAATGGAGGAAGTATTCGTTCTTGGGAGGATCTTAATGTGGCGATGAGACAAAGATTCGGAGGAACAATATACACTGATTTGAGAGGTGTGCTTTCCAAATTATCTCAAGATGGAGCTTTGAGTGAATACATCAAAAATTTCGAGGCCCTAATTAAACAGGTGACAGAATTTTCTGATGAAGTCTTAATGAGTTTTTTCATTTCGGGTTTGCAACCTGAGTTGAGAAGAGCAATTCAGCTTCATGTTCCTACAAGTCTTCACCAAGACATGCAATTGGCAATTACTTACGAGGCCCACCATGCAAAGTGTAAGAACTCGCACCGTTAATTAAGGAAGTTAATTAATTAATTATGTGAAATTAGGAAATGATTTCATAATTGACTCTAATAATTATGATAAGGCTTAAATAATTATAGGAAGTAATTATGCTGAAAGTCATTTTTCTGACGAAAAGTACAGATACCGGTTCTGCTACTCGGTATAAATGCGTACCGATGAAATATCCCAGAAAATTATAAAAAGTGTGTATATGTCACTAGAATAATATATAGGACTGTGATTTCAAGTTTCAAGTTAAAATAATGAGAACTGGTGCCAGGACTGATACTGGCTATGGAAAAGCGCGTATCGAAAAGGTGCTGCGAAAAATAAAATAAAAATATGATAAATCTTAGAAAAATGAGTAGGTTCTGAATCCTAAGTTTGGGATTTAATTGCTAAGAATAGCAATTAGCGCTAATACAATGCGATTAAGTGTAAACCGACTATAAATACAAACTTGCACTAAAACCTAGGCCATATTTCAGCCTTCTGCGTGCCTCCTTTGCTGAAGCTTGTGTTCTCCATCGGCCACCATCTTCCTCCCTTCACTTGAGAACCAAGAGACCATTTTTCCTCTTGGTTCCTTCATTAAACCTCATTGTGTGTGAAAGATAAAGTCTTGTGGGTGGTTTAGAAGCCTTGTTTCTGAACCTTGGGTCTCTGGTTGGGGGTTTAAGGTGCTGTGTTTTCTGAGTTGTGAGGGTGAAGCCATTGTCATGGCATTTTGAAGTCCAAGGAGTGATCTTTGGTGAGAAAGAACCAACATTTGTTGTGCTATTTTCGTTTGCCTTCAAGTCAGAACCTTGGGAGCTTCAAGTGAGCTCCAAGAGCATCATTCACCTCTGTTTTGAGCTTGTGGTATGATCATCACCTTTGTTCTTGAGTTTAATGGTTAAAAATGGAATCCTGATGCATGTAACAAGCTAAAGATCATAACTTAAGGTTGGGTAAGGTTAAACACACCTAGAAATACATGTTTAAGCTTCTGTAATCGGTAAAAGTCGAACCTTTGGAGTGATATCTCGCGAAATGCAGAATCTGAGTTCTGCCGCGAAATATCTAGATATTGGGTTAGAAATATCTGGATATTGATATCCGGATATGGATATCCAGATATTGATATCCGAATGTGGGGTTCTGAATATCCGGATATTGATATCTAGATATTGCCAAACAGATATCCGGATATTGATATCCGGATATGTCCCCGATGAATATTCGGATATTCTGAGTTTTTGAAGAACAGTAGCTGCACTGTTTATACAGAACTGTGTTTGGGGTTTGTGGACCCTAGATTGGTTAAGTTGAACTTCTGTAATAATTGAACTAAGTCAGAATCAAGGGATTAAGGGCTTGTGGCTTTGTGAGAAGTCTTAAGACATGAAACGTCAAGGAAAGACGTTGTCTTTGTGTCTTATGCTTGTTGTGTATGATTATTGATATGATTGCTGGTCCAAAACAGATTGTGATTCTGTTGTGTTTGGGCTTTGAGCTGGGTTGGACTCTTGGCTTGGATTGTTAGCTTGCAAGGTAAGCTTTTGTGTCCTCGGTTTAGCCATTGTTTGTTCCACCATGTCCCATAGGGGGATGGTTCATATGCATGATGTATTTTTATGTACTGTTTTATTGAAATGCTTTGGAGCTGTTAAGTGCAAAATGCTTATGATATGTATGTGGTGTTTCGCCGAGACAGGAAGCCATAGGGTTGTCCTATGGGCGGGTGCGGCATGGGCGTGTACTGTGTGGGTAATATACGTATTCCTGCACTTCTCTGATCAGTAGAATAGTTATAATACACATGACATGATTATCTGCTGCATTGCACTGATTTTGGAACTGATATTGAATTACTGCTTTTAGAACTTATATTGCACATGTAAGTGAGCTTGGGGTGGAAGATCCTTGAGGACCCCTTGTCTTACTGAGATTTCTGTTTAGTGATCTCACCCCACATTTGCGGCACATATTTCAGGTTCAGGTAATGCGGGGGTTGAGACCTCTAGCGGCAGGAGGCCGGAGCTTAGCTGATATTGTGGTTTATATGATGATATGTTTAGATGCTGGATTATATCTGCTGATGATATGCTATTAGCTTGTTATTATCATGTTGCTGTTATTGAGACTATGTTTGGCTTTGTTGTCTTATTTGATGAGCATGGGAATTGTCCATGCCACATTGATTTCCGTTATGTTTGAGTTTAGATTGGGGTTGTAATAATGTATCAGGATTATGTCCGGGCTACGTGTTGTAGTTCCGTGATTTTAGATACTCACAGTTATTTATATATTGAGATATTTCAGTTAGCTGTCCTTTGCAATTTACATACAAGCATTGTTTGAAAATGAATTAAGTAATTCAACTTGGTAATGATAATGACGTCATAATTGAAAAGAAAAAGATATTCCGCATTTTTAATTAAGCGTGGCTTAATACGATGGCATGTTAACAAACCGGGTATACACGGGGTGTTACACAGAGCTTCGATCTACTTTTGCTTCAAGCACCAAGAAAACCTTTGCCAAGGGTTCTTACCCTTTCGATCAACCAGCTCCTTTAACCACTGTTTCACCGGTGCAGAGACCAGTGCTTCCTGCATTGCCCGCACCTACAACGGTTAAAAAGATGTCTCATAAGGATCTACAAAAGAAGAGGGAACTTGTCATTTGCTATTACTGTGATGAGAAGTGGAATTCTAAACACAGATGCAAGGCTAAGCTGTTGTTGATGATTGGTGATTGGGAAGAATTGAGAGCTGATGGTGAGGAGCAAATTGT